GCTCCAACAAAACAGCAAACAGTTTGAGGAGGTGTATTACAAACTGGGCATCTTTCCTAAGGATGAGAATGGGAAAATTGAGTTGCCCCAATTTAGCAACTTTGACAGACACAGTGTTGTGTTGATGTGAGGAGTTCTCATTTGGGTGAATTATTTGGAGCGCGGGCAGGTGCGCAGCCTAGATGACCCATTTTACCACGTCAATAGAATGGTCTTCCCCAATTTTTTTTTTTTTTTTTCCTTTTTTTTTTTTCCTATGTGGACGGTGTGCACATGTATAGAGGGTGAATTCTCGGGCTTTGTTTATTTTACATATTATTGAAGCGAAGCCCTGTCTGAGTGTGTATTTATATGTATTAGAGTGGCCCCCTTGGCTGCAGTGAAATTGCTCCTTTTCTGTGTGATCACCCCGTTATTTAAAATTTTTTTTTTTTTTTTTTTTTTTAAATATGTTAAAATTTAATAGTAATAATTAACCGACATTTGTATTTCTCCAAGTGTCCTGTTTTGTATTTTTGTGTATCATTTGATGGATGTCTGTTTTTTTTTTGTTGTTTCCACCTTGTCGTGTACTGTACCCTTTTGTATATGGTGCATCGTTTTTCCACAACACATTTGTTTCTGTTTTGTTTTTTGAAGTCATATTGATTTGATTAAGCTTGAAGGGGTTATTGTTTTGTCCTCATTTGTGGTCAGAATGAACGGCACCACGGCGTAGCGTCGAATGCGATGGGTTATGTGTTATAATGTGTGCAGAGCGCGCTCGTCATTTTGAAGTTCATCGTGATGTATGCGCAGAGTGACCGTTGCCGCTTCATCGTATGCACATGCATAGGTGCGTTACGGGTGGGGGGAAAAGAGAAAAAAAAAAAAAAAAGCACACACAATAAAGTCTAACATAAATGTCGCATGGCATAGTGAAGTGTGCGATTAATAGGTGTAGCGGCGCGCGCGAGGTGCGCTGCGGAGTGTTTGCTTCACGACGAATGTTCCTGCGGGGCATAATTGTTCCAGTTCTCGTTTTGCAGCTTTGTGGTGGTGGCTGCCTGTGGGTCATTTTTGGCTTGATTTGCGAGCAGCTTCAACTTGAGTTTCTCATTAATGGCATTAATAAAATCATCCGTGTAGAGGTAATCCTTTTCTGTGACATTTTTAAGGCCCTTTATGCATGCAGCAAGATCCTTGGGCATTAGGCCATCTTCTACCGTTTCTATGCATGCGCTTTCGAGAGCATAACAGAATAGTTGGAGAGGCTGGTTCTTGTCTAACTTGGCTCTATGTTGTAATCCCCTGGTCCAGGCAAAGATAGAAGCAATAGGGTTGGTGGAAGTTTTTTCTCCCCTTTGATGGCATCGATAATGTCTTGTAACCGTTCCATGTGCTGCTTCTGATACGCACGTGACTCCATCAGGACACATTAGTATAGAGCTCATTAGACCTAGGCTGCCATATCCTTGTGCAACAGCATCAGATTGAATATCTCCATCGTAATTTTTACAAGCCCATACAAAGCCCCCTTCTGATTTTAGTACTTGAGCAACCATGTCATCGATGAGCTTGTGTTCATACCATAAGTTGTTCTTCTCAAATAAACTGCGAAATTTTTCATCATAAATTTTTTGGAAAATTTCCATAAAGAGTCCATCATATATTTTGAGTATAGTACTTTTGGTACTCATATAAACAGGCATTTTTAAATCTAATGCATATTGAAAACAGGACAGAGCAAAATTTGTGATAGACTCTTCAGTATTGTACATTCCTAAACAAACCCCTGGGGATTTGAAATGAAATATTTCCTCTCTCATAACTTGAGAGTTATCATCTGGCGTAAAAACAATTTCAAATTTTCCACTTTTTTCAATCTTTAACGACTTTTGCTTGTACTGATCAGCATAAGCATGTCTTCCTATAATGATTGGCTTCTTCCAATTTGGAATTAACCTTGGGATATTTTTTATCAAAATGGGGGCTCTGAATACCGTGCCGTCTAGTATATTTCTAATGGTTCCGTTTGGGCTTTTCCACATTTCTTTTAAGTTAAATTCTTGGACCCTGGCTGCATCTGGTGTAATTGTTGCACATTTAATACCTACTGACGATTTTTTTATTTCTTGTGCTGCTTCTAACGTCACTTGGTCATTGGTTTTGTCTCGATTTTCAATGGATAAATCAAAGTACTTTATGTTTAGATCTAGGTATGGCAGGATTAGCTTATCTTTTATTTGCTTCCAAATAATTTTGGTCATTTCGTCTCCGTCTAGCTCCACTATTGGGTTTGCCACCTTCACCTTCCCGCAGATGTTGAACGCCGCGCTTTTACTCGCATTTCGCCTGGTGGCATTTTGAATCCAGGGATTCCTCCACAACTGTGCGCTTCTCCCCATTTTGCGTTGCGACGTGGTAATAAAACGGGGCCGGGTGCTTCCGTGTGGCGAGGGGTTTTATGCCACGTTGCGTAGTCGTGGCTTTTCTCACGTGTGACACTCGTGGAAGTTTTCCCTGGGGGGTGGTAACTCCTCTTTTGTGTGCACTGAGCAGGTGAAGATCCCTTCCGATTGCGGAAAATAATTCAGGAACAGGATTTTCTTCCCTCCGTTTATTAATCTGATGAGCGAAGGTGGAGCCACGCTTAGCACACGTGCTGTGTAAGGGCACTTTTCATCTGATGCTCTGCTTCTCCGCACGTTTGGTGTTTACTTCGAACAGTGGATGGTGTTACGGTGGCCGTGCTTTATGCGCTTTTTTATTTGGCTTCGTCGCGATGGATTGAGAGCGATCGGTTCGCGGCTACATGTACCGCTTTATTTATTACCGACTTTTTCCCCACGTCTCTCCGGAACAAACTCAAGAAAATAACCCGCTGTGTATCCCTTCGTGCATCGGGGTACAAAATAAAAAACGGAACAAAGGAAATGGGGGGAACCGTATGTTATGGAAATTTTCTTCACCTTGAGAGAGTGCACCCTGTGCAAGCCAAGAGTTTCTATGCTGAGGTGTTTTTTTTCTGCGTGAACAAGTAAAAAAAAAAAAGGGAAGCGGTATCTAAGGTGCTACACAAAAAAGGGTTGCCTCAAAAAAGATGGCACCAAGAAACGCTGCAACAAAATAGGGCCAGAGTGCCACTTCGTGGAAGTCACCCGCTGACGTCATCGCGAAAGCCGCTTATACTTCACACGCACAGGGTATAATGCACGTGGTGTAAGGGAGAAGCGGCGGGGAATCAATTGTGTGGAATGAATATTTTACCTTTCCGTGTGTGTTCAACAAGGGCACTTGCTCATAACGGAGCCCCGGATCATTCCCGCAGTGGTGCCAAAGAAAAAAAAAAACAATGTGCAAATTAGGGGTAGAAAAAACTGCAAACTACAGACCGCTTCTTACATCATTTGTGTGCCTCTGTGGGGTTGCTGCCACCGCCTGGATGAGAGCAGCAAAACTATTTCGGCGCACTTCCTGAAGTGGATAAATGGAGAGTACTCTTCTTTACACTTTATAAATGTTCGGTGCGTTTCACAAAAAATAAAAAAGCAAAAACGTGTCAATTTTTTTTTTTTTGCAATATATACGGATTGTATATATTAAAAAAGTAGCGCTGCACATTTTTTTTTTTTTACCCCCCACTCTCTGACCCTGAGAAATGGTTTTTCCATAATCTGCAAAAAAAATGTAGAAGGATACATCAACCTGTACGAGCTCTTATTTTAATTGGCTAGGAGGAGGGAATAAACTAAACTTTCTGTTTTCCCTCTGACTCGGCTTTAAGTGAAATCCCAAGGAGGAAGTAAAGAACATTTGTATGTTTATTGATATGTGTATCCTACCAACGTACATACATTACTTGCACGCAGGGATAGGGCACATGTAACATGACTTCGTGTGGCACCGTGAACACCCAACAGAAGCATGTAAAAAAAAATAAAAAAAGAAGCTTTTTTTTAATTTGTTAGGCTCTCCCTTTTTTTTTTTTTTTTTAACTTTTTATATCTGTGTGATAACCCTAACCGTATGAGCGCACGGCGTGTATCGATACTTCCTTCCCCTGCCGGCGTTGATACTTTACCCAAGTTGTTCATCTTCATGTAAGGGGGAGACGTAATGATACACCAGTGTACATCATCTGATTCGGCGTTAGTGCCATTTTTTTAGCCGAAGAAAGTGGGGACATCAACAAAGTGTTTGGAGAAGGCCGCAAGTGTAACACGGTGGTACGCCGATTTCACCTTGCCCGCCGTTTCACCACGCCTCTTTTTTTTCCCCTGCTTTTCCGCGTTAACTCCGTTCAGGGACCCTCTTCGCACTGTTGGGTGGCGAATTCAGCATATGTGCTGTCACACATATATTTGTGGAAGGCCGGCTCAAGTGATTGAGGCATTTCGTTTGCCACAAATCGAGGACCCTTTTTGTATCCCTCCAGTTGCACGAGTAACGGAACAGTTTAAAAAAAAAAAAAACGCCTAATTATTTTTGCTTTCATTCACAGGAATTGGCAGAACGTGGAGGGGTACACGTCACCCCCTCCCCCATTTTTTTTACTTGATCATTTCTCCTTTGTCCATTTTGCTTCATTTTTGAAAAATTTTTTTGAAGACGCACAAGAAGGTCCCCTTATCTTTTAACACACGGAGTTTTGCCTTTTTTTTCTACGTTTGACAAGGAGCCTCTGTCACCCCCCCCCGTTTGTACATTGCACGCTAATTATATGCCAATGCGTGTGTGTCACCGTCGTGTGGACCATGTACCAGTGTAGACCTACATAAGGGTTTTCGCTGTGTCTCCACACAACTGGCTCTTCTACACAGCCTTGTGCTTACCCCCATTTTGAGTTGTTCGCGCCGAGGCGCATTATCATTTTCGGTCACCAGACCCCCGTCGACGTAACTTTGTATATCCATTGTCACGTGTGTATAATAGGCAAAGAAAAGCAATCCATCCTTCATGCCAAAATAACAAAATAAAATAACGATTAAGCAGTAGTGGTAAAAAAGAAAAAAAAATATATGGGCACTTTTGAGTTGGACAAAATGGTAAAGAAGAATGACGATTTGAACTCATTTTACGAATGTAGGAAAAAAGAAAATGAGGTAAGCAAATTATCTGTGGGTGCATTGAGTAGGGCTCCTGGTCGCGGCGTGGAAGAGGACAGCGATCTCCATAAGGGGGTCAGCATAAATGATCACCCCACTGGAGAGAAGGGTACAGTGCAGTCATTTCGCAACACGCGCTACAGTCACAACGTACGAAATAACTGTATTCGAGGAGGAGCTCAAAATGGTAGGAGTGGTCCAAATGGCCCAGTGGGAACATCTGGAAGTGAACTGGAAGAAGATGACGAAGATGAGGAGGACGAGGAAGATTCGAGTTACATAGAATGCGTCTCAAATGATGACAATTCATATTACTCCCTTTACGAGGGCTATAAAACAAATTACATAATGGAGTCCCTGTTTGATAGAAACTCATTTGTGTACTTCCTGGTCCCATTTAATAAATACAGTTATACAAATTATTACACGAATTGGAACAAGCTCAGCTTTCGTATGTACGCTTCGCTAAATTGTGTGCAAGACAGACCTGTTAAAAGAAAGAGAAAAATAAACCACGTCGACAGGTGTGGAAGTGACAGCAATACTAGTGAAGGGGTTATGTTGAAGGGGGCGCTTTCTGCATTAGCGCAACAGGAGAAGAGAGGGAGAAGCGCTTTCCACAGCGGTGTAAACAACGATTCCCCTTCGCTTCATATACCGAAGCATAATGGGAGAGCAGCAAATACGGAGGTGGGATCCCTGCTGAGTGGACAACTTCCTTCGCAAACCATCGCCCAGTACAGTGAAGCTGAAGATGTCAATTTCAGGAACCCCGTTATCCGCATGATGAATAATTTTTTGTACTTTCTCCTGTTAAGTGAATTTTTCACCTTTAATGAGATAATCAAGTTAATGCCCTTGTGCAAATGTTCTTATGAAATATTCAATCGCTTCTTTTACGTTAATGTCCATGTGAATCCGTTTAGACAGAGTGTTAAGGACATTATACGATTTTTAAATGAGAATAAAGAATACCAGTTTTATATTTTGAAGGGGTCGCACTGTATGGAGGACAACTGGGAGAGTCGCCTTGAACATAAGAGGGAGCTACTCACTTTCGAGTCCATCATCGGTGGGGTGCGTGACCCTGAGGAAGGTCCTTCAAACGAGGGGCAAACCTCAAGTAAAAAAGAAGCCACGTTAAACAAAGCAGAAAAGGTTGGAGGTGGAAATTCGGATGGACAGCATGGGGTATCCCCCCCTGGTGATCTCAGCAACAAGAGAGGAATGGAAGAAAGCGATGCAGGGAATAACCTTATAGACAAGCAATACTCAAGAAAGGAGGCAGGAATACCATCCTGGAATACAGACCAGAGTGGGAGTAACCCCCTGGAGAAAGCAAAGAAGAGTATAAAAAATGGAGAAAAGGTACTCTACACAAATAATATTATGAACATGAGGTACTTGTTCAGTTTGTATGAATTCATTCGCATCTATTTAAGCAAGGACAACAGAGAGGGTGTAACTTTTTGCACCTCCGAGGATAAATTTAAACGTAGTTCCAGCAGACGGAGGGACGTTTTTTACGGGGATGTTTTTCCTTATGGCAATAAAATCAGCTCCTTTGAATATAAAATAAAATTAAAGAAACATGTACAGAGGAGATGGAATTTGAAGAGCAACTATGTGCATGAGAATTACTTTGTACACAAGACGAGGGGGTCAAATGGTCCACACAGTGGTTTACTAAAATTAATTCACAATAAGCATAGTCAATTATACCCCTCGTTTAGTTCCTTCCTCTCCATGGACAAATGTGGGTGTGTAAATTTGTGGAAGGTCAATGATGTGAATTCGTTGCTTCCTACCCGTTTGCTGGAGGCGCAGCTGACGTGGGAGGGGCAGAACGCCCTCGCCCCCAGGGATGCCGTGAACCTCAGGGATGACACCTTTTTGGTGGCCGATGATTCGGCGTTATATTTCTTCTCATTGGAAGGTACGTCGAGTGTACTTGTTTTATGTTTGTGTATGTGTTTGTGATGTGTTCATCCCCGTATGGGAGAAGCAAAGCAATTTGTGAATTATACCCCACGTGCTTGAGTACACTTTAATTGTTTTCCCTCCTCTTTGCTATTACTTTCCACTGCAGGAACGAACCCTATGTCGGCGAAGCGAATCGCGCAGCTGGACGCTCAGCGCATTAGTGACGCAGGAAAAGTGAAAAACGTAGTGATTAGTGAAAAGGGGAAGTGCAGTGTGGGGCTTAACCAAGCCATATGCTGCCGCATAGACCTAGAGAGCGGTACGGTGGAAAGCGAAAAACGGCTGATGGAAGATTTAAAGAAAATTCACTGCTTTGATTATAACACGAACATTGTTATGAGCACAAAGAACATCCTCATTGATGATAAGAGAATGTCAAACTACGTCTCTTATGTGAATTATAATCTAATTGATTACGATAATGATAAAAAATATTTTAACAGTGAAAATTATTTCCATGATTTTAGTCTAACGGGCATATCACTAACTTCTTTGAATTCAAACAACTCCATTTTTTTATTTGACCTGAGGTACAAATACCCCTCCACGTGTCTGCATTACGAGAGTGCCATCACAGAAACGCACACTAATAAGCAAAATGAGAAAATTCATTACTTGTTAAATTTGAAGAGAAATTATAACTCCCGGTTCTACTGCAGTAATAAAAAGTACAGTGGTTTCCACGACAACATAATTTTGAGTCCATTGGTGACACGGAAGAAGCAGGAACAAAATAAAGGGGAAGATAATTTCGTAAAAGATAAAATCATTTCAGATGAATCATTCATTTATACTATTGTAAAGGAGGGAAGTGACAGAGATATTGATGGGTGTAATTTACCTACTTCCTTTATGAATATATGGAGATGGTGTGATAAAAGACAATTTAAAACCTTTTTTCATTACTATGAAGACATAACCGCTGGAAAAAGGAATTATTCCAACATGTTTCTTTCATCCCTATCGGAAAACACATCATCATCGTACGTCAATGCGGAACGTAGTGGAGGATCCAACTTGAGGGGTGACTTGTTGTCTTCTGGGGAGGTTTTGGAAGGCAGTACAGGACCTTATTACTACAGAACGCTGACTTTTGATCAAATTTATAAATTCCTGGACACTCCAAATCATTTATTCCTCACCTATGAAAATTCGAACTATATTCATTCCCTGTTGTCTCCTTCTCATGGGCTCGAGCTGAAGAGCTCCCTCAAGGAAGTTCCCTTTTTCATGCATCCCACCAATTTGTGAGGGGACCCACATTGGAAGCGGCCTCATTTGAGGCAACCTATTTGGAGCCATCTCCATGTGGTTCCCACCCCCTCTACCTCTTAACACCCGCTATCATCACCACATCGTTTGCACCACTTGTTTTTTGCCCTTTTACACACGCTTCAAAAAAAGACAAAACAAAAAAAAAAAAAAACTAATTCATCGAATGCACAAAGGATGCATTGTTGCCCGCACGTGAAAATTTTGAATCACCAGTAGAATTATAATAGACCCCACGGCAGACCATGTTCGCATATCTCGGTGAATCCAATTCATCACTTAATATAATTGGAAAAGGAAAATCCTCATTTGTAGCCCAGTTGGTTGACGGTGGACAACGTTGTGCACATTAGGGGGATATCCCCGTGCTGGTTACCCGATGTGGGGGGGGTTTCCTTCAAGCAAAATGGACATGAGGGGAAGTAAACATGAGTGCACAAAAATGAGAACTTTTCTCCTCCCAAGGCAAAAATGAGATTAGCATTTTTACAAATTAGGTGTGTTACTTTTTGATCAAATTGTACGATAAGCAAAGAGATGAAATAAAAAAAAAAAAAAAAAGTGCACACCATTTGACGATGCACATATATTTAAAGAGTGGAACTCCTTACGAAAGTGAGTACCCCAAAAAAGGAAACCAAAACGATGAACACATTTCTGCTAAGCGTTATTTTAATTCTTTGAATGACTTTCTGAGTAAGCAACAAAAGGTTGTGAACGGAAGCCCCTTATTTAGGCCGTTTACATAATCGTCAAATTTGTTCAATCGCGGCGTGGTTTCGATGGCTACGGGAGGGGGGAAAGAGACAACGGAAAAAGTGTGAAGTGGAGCTGTGTATACTTATCGCGGGTACATAGCGCGGTTACATAACGTGGGTACCGAACCACTTGCTCGCCCCTCCGTGGTGAGACGGTCATTTAAAAAAAACGACTCGGCGAACCTTCGTAGGTCCCGTTGTGCAAAGCGACGGTGGCTCGATATTTCTTCTGGGGATCCCCTGGATGAATATTCGAAAACTCGATCGCTATTTTGTCATCTGTAGGGTGGTGATAGGAATGAGGGGGATATGCAATGGGTGTTTTGTTTCTAAAGGGGGGGGGGATGTGCAAGCGGACCCTGAAATAGACTCCGTTGTAACTATTTAAAAGATATCACCGCTTCGCACATGCGCACATGTACACGTCTACGTAGACGAGCGGTGCCCCGAGGGGGCGTAGTCCCGCAAGGGGAACACATCGTGTGTGGAGACCTTGTAATATGATTTCAAATCCGAGAAGATTGTAGAGGGTGCTCAATTTTCTTTTCCATTCATTTTGAATGTAATCCTTGTGCAGCTTGACCGTGTTGTACTCTACGAAGTGGTCACCCGAGGTGGTGAAAAGGGACATATGGAGTGAAAATGGAATGAGCAACCAGACGAAGAGGACACATGTGCATATTTTTCTAGCGCGTGAAAAATTTCACATAGGTGACATACCCAACTTGGAAGAGTCGAAATTTTTTAAAATTAAATTCAGTTGTTCGTTAATTTCTTCAATCAGCTTGGGATATTCGTCCAGCTTTTTCTCCTTTTCCTGCAGATGGGTACGAAGCATATAAAGCATATGTGTAACTTTGCATAAGGGGAACATAATTGAAAATTGCCGGGTGTGTCAACTTGTTTTGCTTCCCACCATCACGCTCTCCTTGAGCTCTGTCACTAGGATGGTATTGGCTTCGATTTCTGGAAGGGGAAAAAGGGGGGGTGTACGTGTTGTATGACGTCTGGTACGATGTAAGTTACGAGGTGAGCTACACAACTGGGCGAAGTGAGGCCAAAGGAAAAACTACGCACATGATAAGGCAGGGCACATGTAGGGGTATGTCTGCCCTTTTACAGCTGCACAGGGGTACGTGCACAGACCGCTTGCGGTCATGCCGACCAGTGCGCGCCCATCTTTGTCCACTTTGCAATGTTTGCCGTACCGTGGGTTATCCTGTTTATTGAACTTTTTTTCTCCCTCGTTTTATTTTTCATGATTTCAATTTGTTCTGCTCAGGGGGGATGGTAGAATGGCGCAAAAGGTGGGGGGACACAATATGAAGAGGCATAGTCGACGTGACACAATCGCACCACGGATGAGGAGGTCAACAATCGTGTCCCTCACGAGGCCACCTTTACATGGCGCCCCTGGTACATTCCCTATCAGACTTACTTTTCTCATTTTCAATGTACGATATTAAGTCGTTGTACTGTTTTTCGTTTTCTTCCACCATCTGATTCAGCTGTTGCTGCAGGGCCCGCTTTACCTCGCTGTTGTTAATCACGTCCTCCATTTCGCTGAGTCAGGTTTTCTGTGTCTGCGAAAAGTATTTTTATGTTTTTCCTTTTGGGGGGAAAAATGGGAATGACTTGTTATCTTTTTTTGTTAACAACTGTACGCGACATGTGCGTCTTATGGCACACTCGATTTATGCAACACACGGGAGGCGAATTAATTTCTGTGAAATACGTCACCACTTCAAAGGGCTACGCAAAGGCGCGGAGTGGCACGATCGCGGGGCAGCCCCTATGTGCACATTTTTCAGCACTCACACTTGGCGCGCTTATAACGGCGAGAAAAAGGAAAAGGAAGAAAGTTACAAATCTGGACGGGGTCAAAATAGGAAGGGAAAATAGCTGACTTGATATATTTTGCATGAACATAACGAGCGTAGCTCATTTGGTCCCAGGAAAAAGGAAAATGGGATGGTTGGGTTGATCAATGAATGAAGGGACGAACTCATCGGCAAAGTAATCACCCTCGCATGTCCCCATTCTCGCGCGTGTTCCTAAAAATCCACTGTCTTACCTTTTCGCCTTTTTAATTGCTAAAAAAAAAGGAGGCACACAAATTGGAGGCACTTTTTTATTATGCCTCTTTGGCTGAGATAAAGGGGAGACCCCTTGTTGGTGCAAATGGGCGACGAAATTGAGCAGGGATAAAGAGTGAACCTTTTCGCTTGTCATTCCAAATGAAGGAGTAGGCGTTCAATACGCCTGACGCCCAAGTTGGGAGCTGACCGAATTTTGTTTTCGTATGACCGTCTATCCCCCTCACCCGCATGCTTCCCATAAGCCCCTGCTATCTGTCCTTCCACCGGCGTTTGCACCTTGCATACGCCTTTTCCTACCAAACGGGTGTGTAAATGGCATGAAAGTATTTCCCACGTGGAAAACAGAAAAAGGAAACATAACCACAAAAAAAAAAAAAAAAAAAGAGGATAGTTGGGAGTGCCGCGAGTAATAATTGCAGCTTATGTACAATTAAAAAAAAAAAAAAAATTTGTGATACGCAAAATACCAAATGTGATTTGAACGGATATGTGAACGGGAAAAAATGATAACCCGCTGTTTTTCCCTTTTTTTTTTTTTTTTTTTTTCATCTGATAAATTGTTA